GTTGAAGAGATGTCAACAACAGGAAGGGCTGTAACTTAATCATCTCCTTGTTGGTTTTCTCTGGACAGACCGTACACAGAGCCACCACACACATGAGCTCTGTCTTTGTTAGGCTTAAAGAGAACGCTTTATTAACGCTATTAGTTCTGTGAAGGAATTATACAGAAGAACAGCCACAGTTGTAAGAATCCTAATATGCTAGTTTAGTCTGTTATAGTTGGTGGTATCCATTGGTGTTCAGTTTAAAAGCAGTTATTGCTCTCCACATAAACTTCTTCTTCGTACTTGTAAACTTTATCCTTCATATTAGCTGAATCACGTTCGTCCCTGCAGCACATCAATGGCCCTTGGTCCTGGAATTTGATCCAGAAAACACTCAAATTGTCTGACCTTGTTTCCTTGGGAGATTTTAAATGTTTGTTACAAAAACAGAAGTCTGTAGCTGCTTTAAATGAGCTTTTATGTTCTGTATGTATTCCATGTATTTATGCCTTATAGTGATGATATATTACTTAGCTTATTTTGTGTGTGTTGTATTGTTGTAAACCTTGTTGCTGCCCTCTTGGCCAGGGCTCCCTTGTAAAAGAGATGTCAATCTCAATGGGACTCACCTGGTTAAATAAAGGTTAAATAAAAAAATAAATAAATAAAACATACATACATTCGATGGCTCACTTCAGCTTGGAATTAAAAATAATAATTACTGGAAGTGTAGCAGCTGAATATTGTCTATTTGGCTTATTTCAACAAACATAGTAGAGAACAATTATTTTACTCCTCGGACTCAATCAATCCATAAACTAATGGACTGAAAGTTTATGTTCTTGTTCTGTCTTCTCGAGGAAGCCACTATGATGCATAATTTACCATAAGAGCCAACAAAATCAGTTCTTAAATGGACACTGTGTGACTTTTTAAAGATAGAAGCAGCACAAAGCCCTGAACACACTCGGTAGTTTTGCTGTACTCACGTGGTTTGTTACAAACAGCAGCTCATGGTGGCAAACTGTAAATAAACGCTGCTGCAGATTCAGTTTGCTAATTTTACAGCCCTTCTGTCTGTGCGCTACTGTTGTCAAAGTTATATTTACCCAAATCCTGCAACTTGAAACTGTTTTAAATTTTCACTTATGATTAGAAGCAGGGGCGGAACCGAGGGGTGGTGCAGGGTGGCCACGGCCTCCACAGACTAAACACAGCAATAGACGATGGCAGCAATAGAATTCATACTAACTGCTATTTTTCTGGCAGATTTTTTTTTAGCAGAACCATTTCTCTACGGCTGTTGTTCCCTTAACGATGCATTTTAACAGCACAACCGACCCCCCAACGTAATTCTGACCCAAACAGTGATGATTTTGGTTTCATCTGTGGATTTAGTTGAAGTTCCTGCACACAATCTTAAACACTGTGGGGTTCTTTGAAGAACTCTTGAAGCAAACTGCTGAACAATGAAAGACTGACCCAGAACCTGCAGCCAGGAAAAAGCAACCAAAGGCTGAATGGACACACTGTGATGTCTTAATGAGGAGGGTCGAATTTAGATTTTACAGTCTTTAAGTATAAAAAAATAAAATTACAATTGTCTGAGGAGCTTTATCAACAATTAAAACAATTCCAGATTTCTTTTTTTACCACTTGAGGGTCACATAAAGAAGCCTAACATACAGTCCATTAGTCTTCATATACTTAGGTACCACAGTGTTGCCTTCATGAGCAAGTGATAAGAGTGAGTTACCATATAAAAAAATAAAGCCTACAAACATTTGCTGAAAAAAAAACAGGACACTATGCCACTGCATTGTCTCAACCTGCCCCCCAGCATGCAAAACTATCCCGCTTTGCCACTGCTGAATCTACTAAATAACACATATTTCCAGTCTGGACCACCGTTGAATATTTTCCTGAAGTACATAAAACAAGAACTCAAGGACAGGAGTAGCAGGTGAGTCTAAAATCAGGATTTTAATATTCAGCAGTGTTCCTCTCCCGCAGCAGCGAATCCTTCATGTGTCAGAAAGGATGCCGTCATGCGCGCTGTGTTTAATTGAATTAGCTCGGCTTCGGTCGGGAGAGTAGCCGGAGCCACGTGTGCTTTTGACATTACATGCTGGCAGTTTATCTGAGCGGCAACAACTGGCGGTGAAACTCAATTCTCTCCGCGGCTTCTACTTTTAGACCAGGAAACACGGGGTGAGAGGTTCAGCGGTTGTAAAGCACGAAAGGCTGCAGAGCGACGGGCCACCAGCTAGTTAAACAGGTCATTTAAATGACCCCCGCTGACCCTTTCGGGGGGGCCCTGACATTAATCTGTTGAAGAAACCACACCAGGACGCTGGGCTCATTTTGCTTGTTTTTTTTTTTGTTTTTTTTAATGGAATGTATCTTTTCGAGGTATGAAAATAGATCTCACGTTGAAATAAGAAATTGGACAGTGGCTACAAAGGGCACAGCTATAACTGTGTGTGAAATGATGGCAACAGGAAGGCATGTCAGAGAAGCATCACACCAGTCGCATTAGATAAAGGGCACAGCTCCGACCCTGTGTGGGAGATGACAGCAACACCGAGGCATGTGTCAGGTTGGAGGTGATACTCTGGCAAGAAGGGAAAGCAGTGGAAACACTCCCAGCAAACAGGAAACAACATGAGCCACAGGGAGAGGTTTCTTGACAGCAAGACATCCCTCCATCATAAAAAAAAAAAAAAAACACAACGGGAGAAATTTCTGAGGCTGCAACCTGACACGTCCCTCTAAGTGTTGCTCTGTGCATCACTACCTTCAGACATATTATTTAGTCTGTTTGCTTCCTCGTGGAAAGTATTTCATGCCTTCAATATGCAGTACCGGTGATTGATGTCGGTTTATGAACGGTTCTCAGAGGCAGAGCTGCTCCAGAGACAGAAATACGGTGCCTTCAGGTCGGCTTGTGTTCTGAAGGAACGCCTCCAGACGACCTCGTGATTTTTAGAAAGCTCAGAGGTCAGGAGTTGTGGTGTGTTTTCAGAAACGGTGGATGACCTACAAGTTTATTTTTCGGTAGCTGACAAATTAATTTAGTTCTAAATTTAACTGTGTAGAGTTTGAGGAAAATGTTCCCGATTGCCTGAACTTTTCATTTAGCCTTTGCATTTCCTACATTACGTTGCATTGACCAACGAGTCGACTTGCCGTGTCGCAATCACAAACTCACTCAGTTCCATTTGAGGCAGTGAACATCAATGGGTGGAGCTAAAGAGTCTGTTTGAGTTTCGCTTAGCTTTTGAACTCGCTTGAATCGCCAAACTCAACTCAAAATCCAACATGGCTTGAAGCTAGCCAACCACCTAAAACGTTTTAAACTTTCTGGGCCTTGTTGGATCATTTTGTAGTCACATAAAATCAGAGTAGAGAAAGCAATGGTTTCTAGGTTGAAACATCATTTTCCAGTGAAGAGCAAGTAGTAACTTTGGTCGCAGTGGCCACTGCTGGAATTTGTTGGTGATTGAACATCCAAAGGGCAACAAAGTACCTTTGTTCATTTGTCCAAATAACTAAAATAGAAGCATCTATAAAATGACGACTACATTTTTTTCTACAGTAACTCAGTCAGGGCTGTGAATTATTTATTGTCATTTATGATTGCTGGGAGTCTGGAGGAGTCAGTCAGCTCAGTAGAGATGGATGCTAATGTGCTAGAATGAAAGACGCCAGTAGACTTAACTGGAAAATGGCCGACAGTATTCCAGTCTGCTAAAGGTTCTCTCGCACCAGGAAGTGTGCTGGCTAAATACAGCTACGTCTGTGTGAAATATTTTGGGGCTAGCTGTGACCCCTTTTAGCTAGGTAGTTAACTGCTGACTAGCTATCAAGGACCATGCTAGTCTAGACCAGGGGTGTCCAATCCTGGTCCTCGAGAGCCCCTATCCAGCATGTTTTGGATGGTTTGCTTCTTCCAACACACCTGATTCAAATGATCCTGATCCATGTGAATCAGGTGTGTTGGAAGAGGGAAACATCTAAAACATGCTGGATAGGGGCTCTCGAGGACCAGGATTGGGCACCCCTGTTCTAGACTGATATCATTTTACCGTAAATGTTTATTTGCAACCAGTCAAACTGTCTTTAAAGCAGCTCAGCCTCCGAAGTACACAAAAAAAAGAACTCCACCGGTCACATGGCCTTCTTCATGTGACTTCTCTGTAACCACTGAAAACAAACGGGAGTCATCATGAGCTGGTATCCTCCTCAGATTTAAGACTCACAAGAAAGCAAATGAAACAAAGGAACATGATCGATGTACACAATGTAAATACTAAGATATACTGTAGCTTTTAACAAATCAAGCACTTAAAACAAAGTTGGTATATGGGGGAGCAGGTGTCTCATCATACACAGTATCTACAGGTTTTCAGTACTGAGAGGTGTAACACTGCACAGGAGAGGGCAATGCAATGAAATGAGTCTTTGGTTCAGTTGAAAAATGAAATCATGGAAAATGACACATTTTACCGACTAACCTACCGCAACCGCTCTAAGATAACTATGTGTAATCTTATCTCCACTGGACTCGTAGGCGGTGAACCTCAGACCTCCTGTTCCACTCTAGCAACAACCAAACATTCATCAACAACATAACGTTTTTTTTTTATAGAAAATATATATACACATCTAATAAATAAGGGATAAACCCATCGCACGGTAGAATACAGTCGTTTTCTCACATGCTTTTTGTCCATCAGTCTTTTGTGAAAGAAGTCTCTGTATTGAAAAGGGACGGGGCGCTGGTCTGTGGAAACCGTTACATGGAAGAGGGGTCCTCCTGGAGAATGGAGCTCGGCGGGGAAGCGAAAGGGGGAGATGCAGCCCGGGTTCATATTCATCCTCCAGCTCAGTGTCCAATTAACCTGCGGATGCAATCAATGAGACAGACTGCAGACTGACTGAGGCTGACACAGGCGGCAGAGGAAATCTAAAGTCACTTGGTACATGGACTCAACAGAACGAGACCTGAGGCTGCTCATTTTAACAGTCTGGGTAAAGCCATGGATCTCAAATCACACTAAGAAATAGAAAAAGAAACTTTTGTGATGCTGCATTTAATTTTCTTAGAAAAGAAAGAAAAGGAAGGCTTAGTGCTGCAGGGCTGTAGCCAGGGTTTTTAGAAGAGGTCATGGGAGAACATTTGGGTCAAACACCAAAAATAAAGTATCTTCAAAGACGAAGAAACTCTGGCGGGCAAATGCTGAATTTTTTATATATGCATTTAGTCATTTTTTTCCATGGACTTAAGAAACACTGGGATCAGCCCAATGCTGGTAAAACATCTCCAAATTCTCACAGAAATCTTAATCTCAGTGCCCTGAATAGCACACAGTGAAGAGAACTGAAGCTCTGATGTGGAGCACAAACACCTCTCCAATATTTATCAAGGCAGATCAGTTTGTCCAAAGGCTAAAATTCATTCATTAAACTGAGGTTTAGGCAAAAGATGTGGGTTGAACTGAAAAAAAAAGCTTTGAGAAAAGTGTGGTTCTTAAAATAGCAGCAAAGAGCCTTATTGTTGTAGTGGTGGGGGTCAGATTGAAGCCCATGCCAGCACTGTACAGGGAAGGTGCTGGCACTTCATGCCCAGTATTTCTGCCATGTCTGGTGACTCATGCCTAGTATTTAGCACCATGACTAAACAAATCAAATGTGACTCCTTTGTTTCTGGAGGTTTAGTTCATTCATGTTATGCTGGGTTCAAACCTCAGTGTGACAGCAAATGTGCCACAATAATCTGCTGTTCAGCCAAACACTACAGCAGCTCATTTCACTAAGCACAGCTTTACTCAGTGTTTGGATGGACTGTCAAAGCGGCACACTCCGACTCTGGCGAGGCTCTTATGGCTGTGGCTGCGCTACAGTTCAGGTTGGAGTGCAAACTGGGAAGTCAACTCATGCGCACACACATGATGGATTCACCTGACCGGGTTTGATATTTGCGCGTAAGCCGTGCGTCTTTGCGCTTAATCTGGATATTGTAGGCATGTAAGAGCCACTTCACTTGACTTTTATGAAACTTTAATGTACGTATATTTACTCAAGTTCAATGCACATACAACTTTTTAAGTTCAATTTGAAATGGATATTAAAATTAAATACGCACCTTTTCAGCATTTATGTAAGTAATTACGCGTCTGCGTAATTTCGATCGACTTACATCTGCGCGTAATGTTTTGGGTATGGAGAAGCCCTCCTTGTATGAAATATCAAACCTGCCAGGGAATGTATATCCAGCACATTTTCCTGCGGAGGGTTTCACCTCCATGAGGGGGACATATAGGCAGGCCTACAGCAGAAGCTCTCCTCTCAAACTTTTCTTTACGCCAAAATAAATCCACATTTTGAACGACTGTGTCTCCTTCTGGAAGAGCACTGGTTCAGTGCTGGATCAGTGAAGGGGGACTGCAACCTACGATGACAACAGACGTCCTCACTCATGGCACAAATATCCAGGAAATGAATCGAAAAGCAAAAAAAAACAAAAAAAACTGGTCCTTAATTTGTAAGGGGATCCCCAGGTGGTCCCCGGACCTGGGGAGCCCCCGTCTTTCTCTGTAGCTGTCTTACCGCTAATGGCGCACCAGTGTCCGCGGGACTCGCCGCAGGTCACGCAACGTTCGGCGAGCTGCGGACGGTCTTCTGGCCGGGCATCTGCACGACGAGCAGCTGCTGCTTCTGCCGGGTGGACTTGACGGCCAGGATCGCCTGCCGGTTCTTGTACTGGACCATCTGCAAGGTGATCTCCGCGTTCCAGCCCTCGTCCTGCGGGCACCTGAAGTCGATCTCCTTCCCCTCCGTCATGACCACCGTGAAGTAGACGTACTTGCCCTTCCGCTCCACGCAGTCCACCGTCTTCATGTTGGCGAAGTGCAGCTCCTTGACTTTGCCCGTGTCCCCGCCGCCGTGGTGCGGCTGGTGGTGCTGCGGGTGGTCGTGCTGCTTGGGCGGCAGCAGCAGCACGCCGTCCTCGGTCAGGACGCAGTGCTTCTTCTTCCAGAGCTGCAGCAGCCCGTCGCTCCGCTTCTCCAGCAGACCCTCCTTGAACACCTTCCTCCCGTTTTCCAGCATCTTCACCTGCAGACTCCACCACCTTCCTGGCTGCTGGACTGGACGGACGGACGGACGGACGGTTGCGCAGATGGACGGCTGTTTATCCCGGAGCAGGTGAAGGCATTGGGCGCTTATGTGACTGCGGTGCGGAGCGCTCTTGGTTGTAGTGAGGAGGCTGCCTGCCTGTCTGACTGTCTGGTTTGTGGCCACAGTGTGTGTGTGTGTGTGTGTGTGTGTGTGTACGGGGGGTGTGAGGGCGGGAGGGGTCTGGAGAGGTGCACCGCCCCCCTGAGTGGCATCCAGCCTCCTGAGACAATGACAGCAATGACAGCTAATGATAATAAGCAGTTTGGAACTCTGACAGCAGCTTCATTGTGTTGAATTTAGTGTTTTAAAGTCCATAAATTACACAATTAGGAGACTTTAATCACCAGGACACGAGGCAGCAGAAGAACTGCTCTGAAGATGCAGTGAATAGTTTAGAACATACAGCTTCTGAATCCATCTTTGGGAGCATTTTAGTCTCGTTTCTTGGCTGTTTGAAGGCTTTAAATTCAACATTTTAATTGGATGTTTCTTTGATTGTGTTGCTGATGTGGTTCATTCACATATTAAAGTTTGATTGTTAACATTTAGTGATAGTTTGGTATAAATGGGTGAACTTACATCCATTTCTTCCCCCCAGGCTTCTAAGAATCCTTCAAATGAATCAGCACATTCAGTGTTTTCTATCCTGTTTGCTGTCTAACTGCTTACAAGCTTCCCCATTTTAATGTTTTACCACCACTAGCTCCCTCTCCCCTCTCTATCTGATGCTCCTTATGGTGGTTCTGTGGTGTTTTATGTGGTCATGTTCAATTTCCATTACAAACCACACTCCCTGTGGAACATGTCAAGCGTTTCAAATGCTGCACGATGGCACCCTCTGCTGACAGAGTCCACAGCACTGGGTGGTGACTGGCAGCTTTTAGCGGCCTTCACGTTTTTTGGAAAGCCTCAAAAATATTCAGCACTTTGTGGAAAGGTGTGACTAGCAAAAAACTAGTCAACATATTTTTAACGCAGTCAACATCAAAGAAGACAAACAAGAAGAAAACAAAACGAGTCAAGCGTAACAGTCATGTTTAACCAATTTATTCATGAACATACACGTACAGTTATTGAGTACATTAGTATTTTTGTAGCATAGCATTTTGCCTTGACAACAGCTGCTCAGAGGGACCCTACAGAAACCCTGTCACGTTCTTTCCCAATGAACATGATCTGAATACTCCCTGCAGAATGAGAAGTACCCTGGCTCTCCAGCGGCGGACAGAATGCTGCCCGGCACAACCAACACTTGGCTGTTTTCACAACTTAAAAAGGCATTAAGAATGGACTGAGAGGGAGGCAGGCTACGGGTTCTTCGTGGTCCCCCTCCTGACTTTAAGTATTGCTCTGACATGCTTTTCTGTGGCCTTCTGGGTAACAAAAAAGGAAGGAGGGCTGGGGGGGTGGGGAGGGCAGTGGGTCATTGGCCAACATGATGGCCTTATCACGCTTCCCCGTTTTCTTTCACAGTGATAAAAATGAACAGAGACCTCAGGGGCTGGGCTGAGGTCCGTGTGAGTCACCTGACTAGACATGATTTGGCGACACGAGAGGAGGAGGTCGTCAACTGAAGGAAAAAAGGGGGTGTTTTTGTTAACCTGACATGTAGACAGACACTTTTTTCCTTGTCATCCACCGTGCTACATCTGCCCAGCACCGTTCCTACAAAGCCTCTCTGAACAGGCCAAGTGTACCTCCCCCGCTAAGAAAGGTAATGCTCTCTGAAACCACATAGCACAGGTGCACAGCAGCGCCTCCCGTGGCCCTGCAGACGGGGAGGGAGGGAGGCGAGCTGCTCACAAGGAATACTCAACTAACCGATGACAGGACGCCACTGGCACATCACACACTAGTACAAAGTGCTACGGAAAAGACGACAGCCACGCCACTGCGAAACCTACGAGGAGCCTGAAGCACGAGTTTACTGGGGGGGCTGGGTGTCCCTGAACTGGCCGTCCTGCCAAACTGCCTCACCTCCTCCTCATCTAAAGGATTCTCTGGAATGTTCGAGAGACTCGACCGGGCCGGGCCGCGCCAAGCCCCGGGAGCGTAGAAAGTGGACGCAGGCTTTCGCTCGTGATCGGTTTTAACAAGTCCGCTCAGTTGAAGGACGACGGACCGGGTTGAGAGAGGTTCACTGATGGTGCCAGCCGGTCTGCGCACTGGAATGTAATCGAGAGTGGAAAGCAGTCGAGCACAAGCCGCCAAAAGCTCCGACCCCCACCCTCGGCGAGATTAGATAAACTGGAATGGACGCCCAGCTGCAGGTCACCCATCTGTCGTCTGTCTCTAGAGCTGGAAATGCTACAGTGCTTTTTCAAGTGCTAAAGGCCCCGCTAAGAATTTAAAAAAAAAAAAAATCAGAATAATCACCTGGGACAACCAGAACGGACCAACCTGGAACTTTGGTAGGAGGAAGAGGGAGGAGAGGGGAGGAGGGGGCATATAAATCGACGTCACCGCGATGCAGTCTAAACCACAGCTGTTGTCTAAGAGCAAATACAACAAAAGACTTCACAAGAACCCAAACTAGTTTAGCAGTGAAGAAACAAGTTCATGCTTTTTGAGGGAGATATTTTTCCTGTCGTCTATCTATTGTACAGAGAAGGAGGAAGAGAAGAAAAAACAGGTCTAGTAAAATACTATGTTGTATATCGAGCCACACAGCTCCCAGTGTATTACACCATGAGTTTTTGTAACAAAAATCTTGAAACCTTTTTTCTTCAAATTCTCTACCAAGAAAAATACAAAACATTATAAGGCGGTAAGTAACTTTTTTTTTTTTGTTATTTTTTTTGTGTTTGTTTGATTTTTTTTTCCCTTTTTTTTTTTTTTTTTTTTTTTTTTTTTTTTTTTTTTTTCCTTTTTTTTTTTTTTTTTTTTCTTGTTGTTGTTGTAATTTGAGAAGCTGTTACAGTGCAGTGGATCCTCAAGGCAGCCAGGCCAGGCTTCACTGCTGCTTGCACTCAGCTGGGGGGGCTGCATCCTTCTGCAAGACATCACAGGAAGGTTGGGTTGTTAAGACAGAAATCACTCGTACAGTCGCATTGAAAAAAAAATACAAAATCTACACACAGCCAAGCCACTTCAACACATTCACCAGGCGGCTACACACTCGGAATAACGGGTTCTTTCATCTTGACACATGACAGAACTCACAGATGTGGACGTGGTGACAGACACATTCAGACCAGACTGGCTATGACGGCTGCGCTTTGCTGGAGCGTCTCTACAAATGATTGCACAAGTGTTGTGGACCATGACGACCCTGAGGTTAAGGGTCGGGTTAACGGAGGGTTTAAATAATAAAATATATTCAAATATGTTTGCGTCATAGAGTTAAGCAGGAACAAACAGAAAAGACTGATGGACTGATATAAATACACTGGAGGCCAGTGAGTCATTAGGGAACTAATGATGTGGTTATTTCTGAAGTGAACGTGTGACAGGAATAATTTGACATTTTGGGGAATACGTTGACTTTCTAGCAGAGTTAAAGGAGACGTGACGTCCCTCTGCTGTGTCCTGAACATGAAGGAGGAGTCAGCAGGAGGTCAGCTCAGCACTCGCCTGACTCAGCTGTTAATGTTTAACTGTTCATAATTTACCTGCCGTTATTAGCGGAGTCCATTACAAGGGGCACGCGAAAATGTATTGTACATCAGCTTTAGGTCAATCTTCTCATGGAGCTCAACAAGACAGCAAGCAGCACAGAGTGTCATCAGCCCGTTCCTCCCAGCAGTCAGAAATCATCCTGAAGCTACAGGGCGCTTTGGTGCTGGATAAATTAACTATTTAACACGAGCCTGGCTATTCTAATAGACACCGGGATTATTTTGGAGTCTCAACATCAGTCCAAATCTAAATATGATCCACAACAGACGACTACTGTGCAGGCATTTACTGCCAACAGAAAACCAGAATTATTCCATATTCTTTCCATACCACCCTTCAAGTATGTCATTTCTACAGCTATTTTTAACTCATCACAGACCTGAATAAGCTGCACAAAACAGGCAAAGTCTTCTTTATTCTGGAGGAAACCAAATTGAATTGAAGGCTTTAAGACTTTGCAAAACATGACGGGACCTAATGTCATGAAGAGGAGCTGCTGATGTTGCTTGCTGAAAGAATATCAGAAGCCTTTCCACTGCACAAACTCGGGGCAGGTTCCGAAGTGATGTGACTGTTTACAGGAGCAACCCCCTAATTGGTCCTTTCAGCTTTCCCGTTTCCATCGCGGTGCACGATCCGACAACTTTGACCGCAACATTCACCCCCAGGGCGGCGTCAACACAACAGATAGCAGCTGCTGGCTGTGCCTACAGCTCTATGAGGACGTAGGGGACACAACGATGTAGGGTTGTTGTGTTTTCCTATGTGAGGAATTATATGTTTAAGATTTTTAGAGAGATGACTGCTACAAGATGAGGACATTGATAGAGCAAAAAGCAAAAAGCACTTGTCCTTCTTCTCTTCATCGTCTGTAAATGTAACCCATCAGTTTTGAGCCCCACGCAGCAGTTTTCCACAAGAACGTACCCTGGATTAGGTACTTTTTCTCTGCCGAAAAGGGCCGTAAAAAGAGATTCTTCAGGGCCAGTTTCACACTCAGAGCTACAAGTTCCTGCAGTGGAAAACAGCTTAGTGTTTGGATTTCATCTCAGTAATCGCTCATAAATCTAGATAAGAGACCTAAATATCAACCTTGACATTTGAGAGAAAATCCGGCTGTATAAGCCTTGAGGTGGACACACGAGCGCTTTTTAAAATCACCTCAGTCTTCTCTTTGGCGAGTGTTGCTCACAGCTGTACGTCAATATCAGACAGCTCACACCAGCCAGCCGACTAAGACTCGCACAACGCTTTTGAATATGAAGCCACATCACTTCCACTGGCTAAAGACTGTTTGTGTTTCTTTTAAGGTTACAGAAAACAGGATCCTGGGATAGAAATGAGTAACGGGGTTCAGCATAAACACTTGAGAGGAGTTCCATGCAGACATGTGCCACAAGAGCTTGTTTTGCCGCTACAGGATGAGAAACACTCTAAAGGCCGCTGATCTCAAATCAATTAGCTGCTGAACACAATGGAAACACTTTGGTAAATAAAGGCATAAAAAGCAGCCCAGAAAAGCCTCCATCCTACTCGGGGCAGGCTGTCCTTGCGGCACACATTAGACACTTGTAGAGGTGATGGCACACTGCAGCTGCTCGGGCTGCTCTTGATGGCCTGATGGCTCTCTGACAACGACAGCGGAAGGTCATTGTGCCGCTGTACAATACATTTGGCTTGTAATGAACCCTTTTCAAGTGTCCAGACTCCAGAAATAATGCTCTGTTTGTGACGCGCACGACGATGTAGCATCTGTCGAGAGGCACATTTGATTCTTTTCTTGTTTTTATCTGCTGCTCCGAGCGATCGAGTTTCTAATGAAAACTACAGAACACAGGCTGTGACTGCTAACAGCGATGGCGCCCTCAGAGATAAAACTGTTTTTTTTTGTTGGCATTTCTTACATTTTGGGAATCTGCCAAGCATCGGTTTCAAAAACAGAGCAGCCCTCCAAAGCTATTATCCTAGTATTAAAGCTAATCTATAGGGGGAAGTGTAGCAGAATGGAGCTCATGTGAACATGGAAGGAAGATAAAAACCACAGACAGACAGACCGATGACATTTAAATGGGAATTAAAACACATATTGATAAACAAAAGAATTTATGACAGACAAATCCTCGTCCTGACAAACTCAAAACTAGCCTGTGGTTGTGGACGGACGAGTTCGACATGGTGGAGACGAAACAAAACCAAAAAAATAAAAGGAGGCTGAACTAGCTTCAACATACAGAAATGATACGAGTGCAAATGCAGAGCTCATTATGGGTTAAACTTATAAAAAAAAACCAATGACAAACCGGTGGGTTAGTAAATCGAGAGGGTGCAGCACGGCGGCGGAGGAGCAGGAGGAGGAAGAGGAGCTCATGTGTGGGGTTGGGGAGTGCAGAGAGATGGTTGAAGGGTGGAAAAGAACAAGAGGGAAAAAAGGAAAGCCAAAAAACCCAAAGAGCGGGGTGACGGGTGGGAGGGTGTGATGGTAGTAAGCTGACAATTCACGAGCTGTACCTACCAGGATAGGGTTATTTTTCTACTGTCACCACTTAAACCTAGTGAGGAAAAATTTAAAGAGTAGCTGACAAAAGATGCCAAAGTGACTGGAGATGAAGAAACATTAATGAATAGGAGAAAAAACAAAAAAGCAAAAAACTAGCAGAATACAGAATGTCAAAGACGTTTTTGTTTGTTTGTTTGTTTCAGCGAGGAAGCAGCAGAGGTCAGGCTTGTTTACACGGTGTAGTGTCAAAATTACAAGCTGCTCCAGTCTGGTAGGAAAAAAAAAAAAATACACAAGAAGTCACTAAACTCAGGCCAAATTAGTCAAACACTTGAACCCATGCATGTGCACCGTGGAAATCCTGAATGCCATCGACACAAACTGCACAGCTACAAACACCGACACCGTTTATCTGCACGTTTGTGTGTCCTCCTGGTGCTCGCAATGCTTCAGAGCCGGCAGAGCTTCTCTCCACTACATTGTTTGTCCACAGTTTTTCAGCTACATTACCTCCATCAGGAAGGTAGCGAGGCAGAAAATCTCGGTGAATAAATAGAGCCCTGCAGGAGAGGACCTGTTATTTGTTTGTCTCAGTGGGATTATACTAAACCTCAGCAGGTTTGCACTTCATTGTGTGTGTGTGTGTGTGTATGTGTATGTGTGTGCGTCCTTCCATTCAAAACGACAGAGAGATGCACCGATATGGAATTTCAGAGTCGATAACGATGAGCGACGACTTTTATTGACCAATAAGATAACGAGAATCACTAACCTCAAAAATGAAATAATGAAATAAACTGTTAGAGTCTTTACCACCCCTAGAATTAATACACTGATTGTAAATTTAGTTGATAAAAAAAAAAACATTTTGTAGCCCTTTGAGTACAAAAATCAACCTTTTGACAGTGATGTGATCTTTAAGAAAACTCAAGATTCCACCATTTACCAAAGTTAAAACTGTAAAAACAGAGAGAGTCACTAGATTTAAAACTTTCCAACAGTCCTTGAACTACGCATCTCTTACATGGCGTTCTGTCAGCACAACTGACCTAATATCAGCTAAACTGTGAGAAAACCTGACTACTGAGCTGAACTACAGGCTATACTTACAGAGAAGATAGGACACGAGTATGGAAACATAAAAATGTAAGTACAGTGGTGACTCGATAATCCGACACTAAATGTAAAACCTTCTTTTATGTCGGATAGCAAGGCTGTTGGATTGTCAAGACGGAGGTCGAGATACAAGGAGGGCTTGATGCTGGAAGGCTCATTTGTTGTTAATTATTGTTCATAGTTGTCATATATTGTTATAAAGTAGGGCTGGTCTGAATAGCACTTTCTGGTGTGTGGCTATTCAGGCCCAATTAATGATGAATATCTGAATATTCAACGCGGTCAGGGGGACAGTTCCACCCTGAGGGAGCGCTCCGACAGGATGGAAGTGTCCAGAACTCACAGGCAGTACTTGGCTGCTGATGCTAGCTTAGGATAGCGGTTACAGTTCTGTTTCCACCATCGGTGGAGAGGGCAGCGGTGGCATCACTACTCCCCCGCCACCACCGTTACCATCCATGTTTACTTCCTTAAACATTGAGGACACTCGCTGCGTGTGACGTCGTCGTGTCCTCTTCTGCGCATGCGGGACACTTCTGGGTCGTATGAAGTTCACACAGAAGATCACATACAAGTCGTATTTAACCGGAAATGTGAACGAACTTGCAAAAAAATCCAAATTGAGCATCAAGTCCTGCAGTGTGAACGTAGCCAATCTGTGGGATTGTTCAGTCAGATAATACGCCGTTATCCTGATTGGTGACATTAAATGTCATGTTGGAGTCAGAATCCAAGGCTGTCGGTATGTTAAGGCTGTTTTTATGGGTTCTGTTTGTTTTTCCTAAAAACCTGTCAGATAGCAAAGTTTAGGGATTGTTAAGGGTCGGATTATCAAGTCATGACTGTATTAGCCACACATTTGCAAAAATGTTGATTCCAGTATTTTAAATTATTGTAAAATAATCAAAGACATTCGGCTTTCCCCTTTTATGTAATTTATGGCATAAGCATGTACAGAAGGCCAGTCTCTCTTCAACCCATAGCTGCATGTTTCCATAGAGCTACAGGACTTTGTATTGCAAAGACAAATGAGCCCACAGTGACTAACACTATAGCAGGAAAACAACAATAATTAAGTAAGATGTCCAGCTCGGGGTGCAGAGGGTTAAACTGCAGACCAAAATCAGACCTTCTATCCCCATTGATTCTTGCTCCTCACTGACGTGCATGTTCAGGCTACATAGTCCATTAGAACAACGGCCCTTTGGCAGCATCCGTCATCCTCCCTCTGCTGCTCATGGTCACACTCTGCTGGACAGATACAGCTGTGAGAGGGAGGAGGGGCTGCTCGGTGTTCAGGTTCAGGAAAATGCAGCCCATTTTCAGACACGCAGCTCATCAGGCTTAACCTGCAGCCAGCAGGTGTTTAAACACTCATAACAACACACAACAACGAGCTGTGTGTGACTTGCAGTGGGCACGGGGGGCGAACACGCTGCATTTTTGCGAGCATCGACTAGTGTTTGCCAGAACGCTCGTACTGTCTCCGTTACTGGCAGATTTTGTTGCACTTAGGGCTAATGAGCAGAGATGCCATAAAATAGAGGAAGATTCTCTCTGCAGCGGCCTCTGCTCTGTCTGCTGTGTGAGGAGCTCAGCCTCATCGCTGTGCAAACGGTGACTGATGACGAGAGAAAGGTCAGACAGGCAGCTGGGCTCTAGATCATCACGTCAGCTGAAATTCCAACATCGGAACAACTGAATTTTATTACCGGCCAATAACAGCTACATGGTGTATCCTCACTAACAACCTGGACATGTTGACAGCATCCCATTGACAACTAATGTGTGCGTATTTATTTGAAGTGATTAGCATGAGGATTTCAGGTGCACATCGTTGTGTTTGTGTCCGGCGTTCTGGGTCTGTGCGTTACTTCAGGTTAAGGTTTTAGTAACAGCATGCAGCATTCACATTTTAAGGAACTCTGCTGAAAATTCAGCACTGGAAAAAAAAAAGAGAAATACGTTTCTACTGGATGTGTTTTTCATCTTGAAGCCAAATCACGATCACAACAACAAAATAAAAGCTGAAGCGAAACCAAAAGCTGGTGTAAAATGAGATGCATTTGACAGTATGTATTCTGTATGTTGAAATCTGAGTCATTTAGGACAGCAGTTCTCCACCTGCAGCTCAGGGCACCCAGAGGACACTGAAAGGTGCACGGCAAAAAAATAAATAAATAAATAAAACCCACTAAAATTGACTCGTGAACTGTGGAAGGCTCAGGGAGATCACTGCAGCTATCCATGGCCTCCAGTAAGAGCATCCTGAGCCAACAAAGTTGAGAACTGCTGAGCAAGGTCTTTCTCAGGACACCAGAGATCTTTAGAGGGAGGGTGTGGGTGTTAGGAGGGGCGGCTCACCTTGGGATCATAGTCGGGGTCGTTCTCCTCGTCAGCCTCCTCTTCACCTTCCTGAACACACAGCACAGGCAAACTTCAGCCTGCTGGCTTCTCTCAACGTAACCACAGTCGATCACAACACTAGAAACCACACGTCTTACAGGATGTGGCCAGTTGCTCAATGCTATACATTAAGTGTGGCCAGAAATGTTTTACCTCATCGTCTGCCTCCTCTCCCTCTTCATCGTACTGTTACAAAAAAAGAAAAAAGAAAAAGGAAAAACAAACAGTTAAAATACTAATTTTTATCCAGCCTGCATTCGCATAGCAAAATAACACTAGATCAGATTTATAAAGCGCTTTTCTAGACACTCAGAGACGTCAGTTATTCATTCACATTCATTCATTCTGGTGGTGGTAGCTACAGTTACCCCGGGGCAGACTGACAGAGGCGTGGCTGCCATTCTGCCCTCCAACCACCACCTCAAACAATCCATTCATACGCATTCACACCAGGCAAGGTGGTGAAGTGTTTTGCCCAAGGACACAACGACTATGACATAGGCGACAGGGCAGAATCGAACCGCCGACCGTCCGATCATTGACCGACTCGCTCTACCGCCTGAGCCACAGCCGCCCTCTTAGCTTGTTACCAGATCAGTCCTTCTAACTTGTGACCCCCACAACTGATGCTTTCATTACACCAAAACAGTCAAGCAGAACACAGTGAAACTGCCCAACACAAGATCAGATGCCGATACTCACATCATCGTCATCATCCTCGATGGCCTCTCCTGTGAAGTAGAGCACAGCCCGAGGTACGATGCGCTCGCGGATGAAGTGGCCGATCTCAAAGTCAGCAGCCAGAACTGCCTCCGAGTCCTCGTCCTGAAAACAGACCAGCCAGCCTCAGTTAATTCACACATTAGCAGCCTTTTCTTTTTCTTTTTTTTTTTTTTAAATTAAAACAAAGCAACCAGAACTGATTCAGATGCAACAACTTTTGTCAATCCACACATATTGAGGGCTGAGTTCACAGCCACCTGATGCCATTTATGAATCAGGTTTTCTTCAATATTCCTACAAGCATTTCATAAAGGTTTTTTTTTAGTTGGATTCCTGGTTTTCACTGCAGTGTCTGAACAGGAAGGCAACAAAACAAAGTGACATCTTAGCCAGGGTTTAATCCCTTCTAACGCCCCCACAGAATAAAGAGAAAATCAGCCTTTATGTGAGGAGGAAGATGGTTAATCAAAAAAAATCTGCTTTGTTTATCAGTCACTAATGATTGTAACTTCCAATCATTAGTGACCAATTCACCAATTCCAACTTAGAACCATAACTCTGACTTTAAAGGAACCATTAAGATTAATTTTGAGTTCACTTATAGTTCCTAAACAAATCTCACTTCCGCTAGCTTACAAACGGTGTCCTGCAAACACCTACAGCTCATCTACTCTCTGCTACATCAGTCACATGAGTTGAATTCCTGCTTATCTTGTTGTCGCCAGATGCACTTGTCTCACGTTGTGAGTCTAGCATAACTTCCAGTTAACATACAAAAGGTTGCTGAGCTAACTGATTTGCAGGTGAACATCACAAACTGCGCGACTGTCTCGTGACAATCACCTCAGTTTAACAAATGCTGCTCCGGTGTCATGACAGTGAAGTTGCAGAAGTCAACACGGAAGTATAAACCAGACTACTGTCACTGTGGTTATGATTACTTCATGTTGCTCAGAGTTTCTGCCGGTAGCATTCACTCATAGGCAGCAGCGTTTCACAGGAAGGCTGCAGGAGGATGCTGTAGCGACATGACAGGGGACAGGGAATCCATTCCTGTGCTGCGACAGCGAACACAGCATACAGGCTTTCAGTAACTATTCTGCTTATCAAGTCATGTTAGAGGTGAACAGAGCAAGTTTACTGCCTTTATAACAACATTGTTCTGCAACGTGCTGCTACTTCTGTCACTCATCAGGAGAGACGCAGCTCAAAACAAACCCACTGGTCAACGTCAACGCCTTTCTGTAAGCAGATGTGCAGTTAGACTGTAGCCGTGTTAAAAACATACTCACGGAATTACTCAGCTGTTTGAAAAAGTACTAAATAAGAAATACTGATACCACACTGTTATAAAAGTGTTTCAGCATAATCAGGAACGTGTACTGCGGTATTAACTCAATGCAGAAAGACGTCTTCTGTGATTGTTCCATTATAATACGCTATGTTAGATTATTATGCAATAATGTCAAAGCAGGATTTTAATGTCGTAGCAAACCGAACCACCTGAACCTCAGAGAACGTAAATCAGGAAGTATTAACAACCTAAACCAGCTGGAAGAACTGGAAACTGCTCCTATTTAGGCATTTTTGAGACAAATCAATGAATATCTGACTGACAGCTTATTCCAGACTAATGTAGGGGGAGCAGCCAAACAAAATCCACCAGGCAGGCTATGACCAAAGCTTTAACCGTGTCCTCAACAGCGGGAAATAAGTTCACACAGACAGTATCTCCCTGGTGAGTTTGCTGTTGCCACTGTTAAGTTATGAGTAAAGTTATAGTGCTGTGTATGTATTTAATTTTTCACCTAGTTCCTGTTTAGTTAATTTACTAGCAGCAAGCGGTGCCATTTTGAGTCGGTAGGTGTGGCAGCTCAGGCCTGAAGGGAGACGAAGGCTTCATTAGTGGGTTCTGGGCAGGTGTGTTCTCTTTGTTTCATGCCAGTTCAGGGAGGAAGGTCAGAAACCTTCAATGTACTGATGACTGCAGAGACGCCACTGGTATGTAGAGACAGTTTGAAGTTTGTTTTTCAGTTTGAACTGAAAGGGGTGAAATTGTTATTGGTAATTTAGTTTATTTTGTCTTGAGATGTTGGTTTCCGGATTCGAATTATATGAAGCATATGAAGTGTTTGTCAATCATTTTGATTTGAAATTAATAAAATGGAAAATTTAAATTTTTGTTGATGGATTAATTAATTAACATGGTTTTGTGTTTTTTTATTTTTAAGGTTATCAACTAACAAACACTCAACCTGATTTCTTTTTGAAAAGAATAAGTAAAGATGGAAAACGAGTGGAGTTGACCGGCGTCCTCTGTCGTCTTCAACACCGAGTCGAGTTTAGGCAGAAGCTCAAAAACCAAATAACTCGACATTTAGCGGAACGACCAGCCAGACTGGTAAACCCAACTGTGGCTCTGATCTCTGTGCTAACACACATCTGGTTAATCCAACACCTGCAGCCGCCCCATGAGGTATCTAGTTTACAATAAAACATGTTCTCCAGTACAGACATCACCAACAGATTAAACTATTAAATAACACCAACTTACCAGCTCTCCATTTTCTGGAACTGCAAACAAAGAAAAGATGGATAACATTAATTTATGCATGTTTAAAGCACAAAATTAAAAACAAGCCAACCCCCGTGCAGAATCATGTTTCCGCCCCGTCATGCTCACCCTCTGGTGGGGTGAAGAAGTTGAAGAAGGAGTCGTTGGGGACCGTTTTGGTGACCGTCCTGACTGTGCCGCGGCCCTTGTGCTTCTGTTTCTTCTTGATTGTTTTCAACGTGACGTTCTTGCCCTTCGTCCAGTCAATCGTGCAACTGTTGTGAAACACGAGGAGCGGCACAAATCAAGGTCAGGAGGCAGCATTCTAAATGTCAAGTGTAAATGACATTTTGGGATTTATTTTAGGAATCCAAGTGGTGAGGTCACTGCCGATGATTCAGACAGCAAAGAGGGAGAGTGATAATGGAAACACTGAAGGGAAAGTGCTCGGCTCCGATCACGACGGTCACAGAGGAGGGATAGTTTATTAAATAACGAGACATGAGGCAAAACGAAGCTGAGATTCTAAACGCCACAATGAACTTTGGCAATGTGACTTCAAATTAACTGTTTAGATATTAAAATGAGATGAATGTGGACTTGCTGGAAAACTGAGGATTGTCTTTGCAGAATGACACGACGCAAAACCACATCACACTTATACTTTAGGACAAATCCAGTGACGTGACCCACCCTGTGCAGCACATGATCTCTGGTCCGTCGAAGGAGAAGGGGTCGTTCTCGTCGGGCTCTGACCTCATCTTGTAGGTTTTCGTCAACACTGTGTTTGTGAAGAAGTCGTTGGGCTCGAAGTGGAACTCTAATGTGAAGCTCTGGTGAAAGAGAGTGCGATTAAAGATGGTTCTAAGTCACACATCAGCCATTTAAATGAGTATCATGCAGACTCACCATTGGCTGTCCTGGATCTGAGAATTTTACTTTAATATCTTGTAAATGTTTAAGGATGGGTTCATCGTGTTCCTGAGAGGAGAGAGAAAGATTGGCCGTGTTCAGAAGATGAGCCAGAATAGAGAGCATTTATTTATTCACTTGAATGTACATTGGCTTATGCAAACTCCTGCCAGCAGGTGGAGGCAAATCTAGATTTTTCGCTGCAGGAGGCAGCTACTGTCTGTGACCCATTTTCTCTGCCTCTCCAGCATCAGTCTGGATGCACCTACCTGCAGCATGTCACTGAGCAGGTCCACGTTCTTGAAAACCGTTAACCAGAACTCGGGGATGCCTTTGGGGTCTTCCTTCTCCTCGTCCTTTTTCTCTTCCTCTAACTTGGCCTTCTCCTTCATCTCATCCTGGCAAAGAAGGACATTTTCTCTTCAAAATGAGGCTTGCTCTGGATTTTTTTTTTTTCTCCCCTTTTCACATATTCACCACTATATGAAAGAGAGGAGCCTTTCACCAGCTACACCCACATGCAGCACAGCGCATGGGGGACCAGACAAAGACAAAACAGTAAGAACTAGCTGCATTCAAGCTACAAAAACACTACACTGATTTCATCAGCTGCACGGCGGCTTTGTAATGGAGCCGTCTAAAATCCACACTGGTGGTAGAGAAGCATAAATCCTATGTTCTTCCTCATTAGCTACATCTCTGTGTGCTCTGGATCAGACTACAAGCTGCATGCATAAAATGTGACAGCACAGAAAAACAGAAAAAGGCACAAAGCCCAGTGTCGAGTCGGACAGGAAGCATGCAGGTGTATACGTCACCTGTACCTGCTTACTTACTGTCAGCTCTTCCTCTTCATCCGCCTTCCATTCACATTCCTCATCTGTGGGCTCATAGGCTGCTTTCACTATGTCACTTCTCTGCAAACAACCAGAGAGAACAAAGTTTGCACATGTGCCATCCACATTATGTACATATAAAAGACACACCATGTTATGTGATCTATAAAACAGACAGGTACACAAACTGGAAAAGAAAAAACCCAAGATAATCTGATTAAGTGTCAACTGTCTATTCATGGGAAAGTAGCTGCATCCATTCCTGGTTTATTTACATAAAAACAAGCCGCTATGCTGCTTCAGCGTCGTGAGAAACATCTGGGCTAACTGCATATAACCGTCACACAGGAAAGCTGGGGGAGCAAGGTCAACCTTGCCTGATGAAAACCTTTGTCATCTGTTCATGTTTCGATCATCCACTGTTCAATACTAAAATTATGGGGGAGGGGGAACATATATATTTCCCCAACACACAGTATGTTAAATTCAGTACCCCAAAAATACCAGGATTTCCTCCTACATCCAGTTGGGTTTTTTCATGCCACTGTCATATGTGAGTAGGTTGACCTACTGAGAGCACAGACAGAAGAAACCCCCCAAAAACCTGTGTGACATAAAACAGCCTGTATCTAAATGCAGCTGTCTCAAGGACTTTATAAGGTCATTTTATCTGAACTACAATCATGGCAAACATACCTCTCTAAAATCACTTATTTCATTGGGCGCCCTGATATAATGTGAAGACGAGGCCCATAAGACAATTCAGCTGTAAAGAATAATAAAAAGCTATGGCTGCTATGGCAGCATATTTACAGTTTTAAGGCACAGAAAGCGGTGCTTTATAGCAGAAGAGCAGAACGATCAGTTTTATATCAGAGCTCTAAAATGGATCACTGGAACTGTCTGCACAGCTTTTAAATCCTGAGGTTGCTACAGAGATCAAAGATAGAACAGGGTGTGTGCGCTCACGGTCAAACACGCTGAGGAGGAATGCACCAAATGCATATGTATCTGAGAATGCATGTTTGAACTGATTCAGGTCCAGCTGCACAGTACAGTAAGGAAGGGACCTCATCAAGTCTTTCTATGGGCTGCGACCTGACAAATCTGATCCAATACTTACCTGAACATTGATTAATTATGTACCTGACACATTAAATAAACAGCTGCAGCCTCATCGATTAGCCATTTTTTGTGGTTAAAAACTACAAAGGGGTTCAGCTAACTATTGACACGAGTTAAAAGTTTAGCTGTGAGAAGGTGACACTAGAGCGGGGACACCCATTGGTTGTGTCCCCTCTATAACCAATGGGTGTCTCCGCTCTACTCTGTTGCAGACAAACACTATTCGGTCAAGTTTGGACAGTGGTTTATCGAGAGCAAAGAACCCAAAATGTCTTACTTTGGCTTGACAAACAAAAACTGTTGAATTAATGCTGAAGAGAGACAGCTGATGTGATTTTTGTTTTATCCAGATTTAGTCAGTGCTGGCTACAAACAAGAAGCTGCTATTTGAGGGTTTTGTGCACTGATCTATGCTAACTGGAGGAGACCTGGGTGGAAGCACACTGTTGATTACCACTACATACTAATATTTTTTCTACACTAACACTCATATCGCATATGGAGAGAAATGCTCGCACTGGAGAGGCTGGCTGCGACTATAGCGAGCTGCGCTGCCAGAGTTTTTCCTGGCTCAGAACGGGCCTTTGGGGGGTGATTACACGACAGTAAGCGTTATCAGTATAGCAAAGACAGTGCGTCTGTTATCTACTTTGAATGCATATTCTTATTTATGGCCACTCGATAAACAAACATGTCTATTGTGCTTAAATAAGTGAACCCAAAATTAGCAAAACCGGCTGAAATACCAATGAGTGAGATGTCCATGACTTCACACTAAACACAGAATTGTACCATTTAACAGAGCGGTGCGCGTTCAAGCGACACAGCTTCACAAACACAGCATCAATATTCAAAAGTCAGAAGAAAACATGACGTACTTTGTCAAAAAGGGGCTGGTAGAGGGCGGCGTACTTTCTCTCCAGTTCATGTACTTCTTCGTAGAACTTGGCCTCAATGTGGGCACATTTGACCTGCAGGTTCTTCAGGGCGTTCACACGTCTCTTTACAACCTTTGGTAAACTGTGGGATGACAGACAGAAGATATGAAGTCATGCAAAGGTAATCCTAGACGGTAACACTAAGAGAAGGTACATGGAAGTGAATTGCCGTTTTTCACTGGGTTTGTTTATCCCTTTAAAACAACGCAAAATCTTATAATATATTATTAATCCTACAACCATTTATTTTCTAAATTTAAAACCACAGGACAAAATGTGCTTAATAGGGAGCAAACGTTGCCACAGAGGACCCTGCCTCAAAAGTTAATCTGGTGAGAGCTTTAGAGAACAACAACAACACACTGCAGGGCAGCGTTCTCCCCAGAGGATCTGCACTAAGTCAGGGTGGCCTTCCAAGTACACTCTTTAAACAAACTGAAAGTCTGCCTCCAACAGCTTTTATTGAGATTTGCCTCGTTTAATGGCCGGGTGAAGAAATTATGTCTTATTTGTACACAAATTTACTGCTGCATGCTCGGGGAATTCATGGCCTGGTTCCTGGTGCGGATGATGCAGTGGATTCCTTAACGTTACATCATTTGAGAAGTCTTACGAGGACGTTTCTGCGTTCACTTCCTGAGGAAATTCAGAAGCAGCAGACTTAATGTAAAGACAAAAGCAGTCAATCAGCGCCGTCACTTCGACAGTCCTGGACTGTCCTGGCATCTGATTCGAAAAGCATCATTAAGAAAATTAGATTTTGCTTATCGGGGACTACACAAGTTTCACTACCAGCAATTTACTGTGTACTGCACCTACCAAGCGTACATCTACTGCTATCGCTTGGTGCCATTAATCATGCAAGCTGAACGCCTGTGTGTCTTCACATCTCCTAAGGCATTTGTCTTCATGAGTCGTGGGTCTTTACTCATTTAAGTAGAAGTACTAACACCAGGCAGTGAGAGTCCTGCATTTAAAATGCTACTTAAAGTAAAAGTATAATCAGGACAATGTACTACGGCATTAACCTTTAAAGCAGTACATGCTGAAAATGTATTTTTTTTACTGCTGTCCTATAATGTATCATATTGCTGCTCATGTAGTTAAGAAAAAGCAATAACATACTTCAGAACTACCATCTGACCACACTATAACTTTACATACACAGCCTAATTACTGCTCTATAATGAGCTGAATAATCTTGCAGTACGGTAGCGAGGCTGCACAGAGTCAAGTTTCTCCGCAGTATGGTAAATTAAAACGCCTGCACTATCCTGGCAGGGGAGTGCATGTTTGGTCCCAAGTGCTGGGATGTAACTGGTGACTTTGTTAGTGGCTGCCAAACACTTGACATGTTGATCAAAGAGCTGCTTGCTGATGGTTTTGCTGAGGAGAGGAGCAGTGGGTGGCACAGCCCCGCAAGCCAAGACACACAGCCACATTCACAGAGCATCTTAAAAGAAAGCTGCTGGAGGTACAGACTGTATCTTTGCTCTGAGGTCATTCTCAGGTTTTACCGAGCTGCAGTGTTCAACACTTTTGTGGGAGAAACTAATGAATGCTATAAAAAGTATTCACCCCTCTTGGGCTTTTTCATGTTCAACTATGAATCACAGAGTGTGATTGGAATTTTTTTTTTTTCTGACACGAACGACACATGAATCCAAATTAAGTAGGTATCCATCCACTCAGTTAATCTTTAGTCACTGATTGTACGTGCTTGCAAATTAACCCGTACAGCATGAGTCACCTGAATACATACATCATTGTATGTGTTCAATTTAAATGCTTTCTGGTATGTTGCAGTCTCGTGAAGAACATCAGGTACTCAACGCTAAGTGACTCCAAGAGGAAGGAATAGGAGTGTCTGAGATTGTCTTTTTAATATCCATCCATCCATCCATTATCTATACACTGCTTAAGCCTCGCGGGGGGCTGGAGTCTATCCCAGCTGACTCAGGGTGAAGGCGGGGGACACCAATTAACCTCTACATGCTTTTGGACCGTGTGGGAGGAAGCCGGAGAACCCAGAGAGAACCCACGCTGCATATGGAGAACATGCAAACTCCACGCAGAAAGATCCCAGGTGTCCTCACGGGGAGGTGAACCAGTGACCTTCTTGCTGCGAGGCGACGGTGCTAACCACTGATCCACCTTGCAGCCCCTTCTTTTTAACATGAACAGATAAATTTATCTTTTTTTGAAATTTTGTGAAATATTTCTACTTGGGCCCAAACTAAGGGTCTGAAATTCCTGCACAAAATGCAGGTAAACTCTGGACTCGCTGCCTGGTATATATGTCAGACAGCGACATTTAAACGGCCCGTACAGGCATCTCTTGTTCTCTCAGGTTGCCTCTGCTGACCTCCATTTTCTTTGCCTCAACTCAGCCAATCAAAGCCAAACCCTACAATGGCCGTGTATCAAACAAGCTGCTCCGTAGAAAGTGATGTGTGTGAAGCTGCGTCAATCTCCTCTTGCTACGCTGGTATTCAGACAGTTAATAATTGACCTAATAACAGGCTGGGGCTTGACATCATGTTCATGGTGAACAACTCCACCAAACCTGAATGTAGCAGTTGAAAGGGCGCGGTCATGAAGTGTTGACGTTGGCTATGCCTAAGTGTATCCTCACTTCTTCTATATTCAGTAGTTTAATTTTTGCTGCTGGCCATGCATGAACTGAACTGAACTTGAAATTGATTTGCATAGAAGTGTTACTACTCAACAAGGTGAAGTCGCCACTTAGAAAACTAATTATGTAAAAGTATGCAAGTGGCCAAGCAAAAACACCCACCCACCATCGATTTGCAAGTAAGTGATTACAAGCTACAACCGATAGCCCACAGTAGTGCTCGGTGTGATTGGCAACTTCCTGAATGAGTTTTACATTTAAAATAAACCCATCATCTGTGCTTGACACGATATACGGTTTTATCTCAAACAGACAAACAAAATGTAAAATATTGCAGTCACGATAAATACAAATTGTTTACTAGGTTTCTACCCAAACTACCTCAGTGTCCTTAGCCCAAGTGCATTCTGTTTACTATTCTGCTGCTGATTCTGCTTCTATGACAACTAGATAAGGGGTATGCTGAATTCATATATTTGCAGACGGAATTTCCAACAAAAAAAAAAAAAAAGAAAAACAGAACAATCCCTCACCTCTCCATGTACCCTGATGGTGAGCCATTCAGACCATCCAGCCTCTCCTGCAGAGCAGCCAGGATCTGTGGGTTCTGCATCATCTGCACAGTCAGCTGACGGGCTGAGGACAAACAAATCACACAGTCAAAAGAGCAACATTAACACAGCGAATCAACCGAGGGCCGCCAAAGTATTGTTTCACTCAGATTTGACCTCGAGTGGGAGGTCTGATTAAATTAAAGCTACACTCATAAGCAGATGCATGTTGGGGATGGGAATCAGTCGCTGCCTAACGTTCATTTTAATCCTATCTAGTATTACTGCTTGATTCTGCAACGCTCGAGCCGTCCGGAGATGCTGCAGATTTCTGCATCGTGTGTGTTTACAGGAGTAAGCCAGAGCAAAACTAGTTTCCTGTCCAAAGCATTCTGTCTTCTCTCCATTATCTGATGTGTGTTAACCTGTATTTAACATGTGCAGTTCATACATTGCTTATCGTATGCCCTGTAAGTAAACATTAGAGCACATCTGGTTAAGTCCATGCATTTTAAAGAGAGGTGCAACAAATACTCAACACAGCCAACTAAAAATCGACGACCCAAATAGTTGCCAAAAACTGTAATTGTCAATTAGTGGCATTGTTTTCACACAAACCTAGAATGCTCTCACGTGAGGAAGCAAACTGTGTCAAGACCCGATTTAGACTCTAAAGAAAGTGGCTCATGTAACCAACCTGTTGTTGCAGCCAAGGTCATGAGTCTGTGATTAAAAACAGCTTCATCGCTACACACAATCATGTCCTCTGCGCTAAATGTTTATTGATAATGCTGCTGGCTATCAGTAAAGAAAAATATGCATCTTTGTATCTGACTATCACAACAGTTGTTTAGCCAATCGTGCATTTACACAAGAGGCATCTATCAGCAGCAAAGGGCGTCTCTCCCTTTATGCAAGCGGGCAGGTGACAGATGGTACAATCCAAGTGTCCAACACATTGTTTGCACCAATCAAAGCTCAGTCAGATCGCTGCTGGCAGGTGAGAAGATTAAAGAGACTGGAAGTCACTTTTCTCCGCTGGCACATTCTGGGCGTTTTGCTTGTAGCGTGTTACCACCTAAAATAGATCAGCCGTCTGAGAGTCTGCATCGAGTCGAATAAACGCACCTATGCTCCCTCTGAATTCACACAACGCGGGCTGCTTTGATACGGAGTTGTTTCTTTTGGTGTGTAAATCAATGAGCCTCGGCTACAACGCGGACAGTTGCCATTGTTGAAGTAATGAATATATATCCGCTGTGTTTTAGAGAAACATTACTCCACCGAAAATTTATCTTCACACTCCCGCAGCTGATGCAAGCTCGGAAAGTGGCTGTAAAACGTGTAGTCTGGAGTGTGTTTGACACTTCAAGTTAGATTTTAGGTGGAAGACAAATTTAAAAATGATCTTGATGTACTGCTCTACACAATCAAAGCAGATGGCCATAGATGTTTTTTTCCCCCACAGATGCTCAACAAATACCGTATCTGCATTTCAGGTCTGACCTCCCAGTGCTATCCTCTAGCTGACACTGGTCTGATCCCAGTAACCTTGCCAGTGCTGGGAGCACCCACTCACCTGTGCAGATGTAGGTGAATCATTCATGCATCCCTGTTTTTAAAAACACGGAGCAACACTGTGAATAAACTGGAGGATGTGGGCTGCTTCATAATTTAAGGCGCAGTTTTAAAAACACCATTTTACTTCCACAAGCCTTCAGAGCGGTGACTTGTGGACACCTTCGAGTTTGCTACCGTTGTTTCACAGCAGCTTTGATGTGTGACTTGGCGATACGTGAGGTTTCTTAACGAGAGTTTGCGCTGCATGTTAACGCTGGCAAGCTGTAACCGCGTATTACTCATGCATTTATAATCCCCCCCTCAGCTTCCAGGCATCGTGTACAGCTTTCCCTGAGAGTGTGGTCGCGATGACAGATCAGTCGTAGGCAGCCGGAATGAGCTTTCATTCAAGTCTGGCTTTTTAAAGGCTGCTCGAACTTGCTATAAAAAGACGAGGCCAAACAGTCTTCTATATCTATCCACAATGAGCAAGGAGTAGGCTAATATATGAGGAGCTGTCTGAATCATTTATTGAGCATCAAAGGAGGCATAAACAGCATCAAGATCCCAAAATAAAGCAGATTAGTGCCTCCCAGCTCTTAACTACGATTCAGAATCATGTCATGCAAATAACTCCTGCTCAGTTTAAATACCAGGCAGAGGCACACGGAGTTCACACCGCTACACCGGCGTGACATTTTAACACACCTGAATGATTTGAGCTTCACTTTCTATCAAGAGTTCTGCACATTTCATCGTCTAAACTTTGCTTTCTGCTTTGAACACAGTCACATTAACAGTGTAACTTGCATTGCAAGACAGATTTTTCAAGAGTTATCTTGACACGGCGTGCCTACCTTTGCTGTTTTCATCTCCCCCCGTCTCCTCCTCTTCCACTTCCTCCACGTCTTCCATATCTGCCGGGTCCATCTCAGCCTGGTCTTTGCTGCTCGGGGAGACACAGAGGAGAGGGGGGAGGATGAGAGAAGGGAAGGTCAGCCAAAACACAGACACTTCAGATTGTTTATGAGTGGACAGAATTAACACCGGCCACCAGGCTACTCCTGGCATGTTTAGACTCAGGCTGCCAGTGACTTCAGCCACCCTGTCAGTCGCTTCAGCGGGAAACTGACTACGGCATTCCCTTTTTTTTTAATCACAAAAACATAATTGATTGTTGGAGCTGAAAAGGAAAAGTTTTTAAGTCTTTAAGGCTTGAGGAAAATAAATCACACTGGAATCTTCCAGAGAGAGCATAAGAGTACTTTGGAAATAAGCATTTAAAAGCACCCCTAAATGCATCTATAGCTGGGGGAAGGAGAGCAGTCATATTCTCTTCTTCCAGGACAACACACAGTAAAAGTCTCTGGCCTTTTAAACTATGAGATGCTTTGTAGATCGAAGACACTCCAGCAGTAATCAAAACCGGACTGGACTTTTACCCATGATGCTGTTCCAGGCAGTGAAACGTGATACCCTACTTTGAGATACAGTGCAGGAGAGCTCAATGCTGAACATGACACAGCTTCACCAGCACAGCCTCTCACGTCTGCAGCCCAGATGGAAATCAATGGCCTACAGCGGACCAGTACGTGTGTGTGTGTGTGTGTGTGTGTGTGTGACAGCATCCATCTATGTGTTGTGTGACAGCCGCTGGAGCGTCACTCCTGCAGGACGAATGTTGAGGTCCATCACTCAGATGTTGTGAGGTGTCGTGTGTGTGTGTGTGTGTGTGTGTGTGTGTGTGTGTGTGTGTGTGTGTGCGTGTGCGCCCATGTCGTGTAAAAAGCTGTCAAGACGCAACCTGAGCCCAAACAGGCCCGGGTTTAATGAACAACTGTTTCCATTAGGAAGATCCCGCTGCACTGCACTCCATCAGTTTAATATGCTGTACTTCTGACCACACCCGAATCACCGACGTCACAGCAGGTGTTTCTTTCTGCCGTCGAAGGCCCAGGTGGCAGCGAGGCCACGTGTTTGACAGAGTAGAAGAGAATGTACTCACTTGTCCATGTCTGCCATCTTTGCTGAGTGTAGAAGAATGCTAGAAGAAGAAAAAAAAAAAAGAGAACATGATGAGTTTAGAAATGCTGAATGAAACACACCCAAAAATAATTAAAAAAAAACATTTAACTGTCACCAGATTGGGGCAAATAGCATTTGCAAATAACCCCTGATGCTAATTTTAAACTCCGTAGCGATGGTAAAGTTAGTGACACATAATGAATGACAGTTAACGGCTACTGGAAAGCACTTGAAAAGTAAATGGGTATCTTTTGTTTAAGCAGCACCAGTAACGTGTCGTCATGACGAAGGGGCTAGGGCTGGGTGATTATGGTGAAAATAATAATCACGATTATTTTTGATTGACATTGAAATCACAAATAATAAATATGACTATAGATTTATTTACAAACATGAGGATTTATTTAACCACCAAAATTTTACTTTAAAAAAAACCCAGAAATAAATCAGTAATAAGCAAACAAAGTAAAATGATAATATTAGAAATAACAATAGCAATACGTAAAAACAAGGCATTAAAATAAATAAATAGCCGAATTCCAAAACTTGAAACATGCAAAAAACACTGATAACAGAGACAAAAAAAAAAAAGCCCCAAAATATTCTTTGAAGGTGTTTCCATGACCACATTGTCCTGTGAGCCCTCAGCCCAGCTTCCTTCAATCTACCTCCTACAAACTTAAGTTGTTGGCTAGAAACACCAGACTGTTCACTTGGTCTGGCTTTAATGACGATCGCAGGCAGGAGATAACATCTCCACCTGAGCTAAACACCCACTCTGATGAGGCGGGGATGCTCGGGTATTTCCTCGCTAGTTTGGGGAGCCGTGGGTAGAGTGACTGTTGTTGGCTGAAGTCGACGAGCTTGTACTTTTTTTGCGTCTTTATCGACCAGTTTATGATGAAACTTTAAGTGGTTGGATGAATTGTTGCCGTGGGGCGCAGACACAACAGCGCGACAAATTTTGCAAACGATTTCCTTCCTGCTTCACCTCTGAGATCTTAAAACCAAAATGTTTCCAAATTAGTGACTATATTCTCCCTTTCTGATCAACTAAACGCTGCCTTTCTGACATTTTTCCTCAATCGTTTCTAGCTTGCGGCACCCACCAGTCAGACAGGTGCGTTCAAGGTGCTCAGGAATTTGCATGCACGCCGCAGCACAGTCGTCATTTATCTTCGATTATAATGTTTTTGTAATTGAGAGAAGCCGAAATCTGATTAATTGTCCAGCACTACTATGGGCACTTCTACACATCTGAAAGTTTGGTGCATTGTTATCACGTTTCATGGTTTGTACTGTTTAAGTTCCTGTTTCAAATAACCACTAATTATCCCTGTTGTTTCAGCACTGACAAGGCAGTGTAAACCTTCTCACTGTGTACACTGTGATACATCTCTCTGACATAACAATCAAGACTGATTTAAGGGTTCTTGGCTGCCGAAGTTTGTTTATTATTTACAAGACACTGAGTTTCCTTGTTGACATGCGCAGGTACACAGTAGAATGAGCAAGGAACAGGAGAGGAACGCCGAAAAGGAAGATTTGGGTGCAACAAAACATCCAGAATCGTCGTTGATGACCAAAAACTGGCCCTCCGTCAGCAGCAACGAGCGACTGTTGTCACTACGTAAAGCAACACGACTGATTTGTTTGACTGCAGAGTCTGATCTGAATGCCATCGAAGCGAAAAATAATAATTTTTCCATCTCTTTGCGTAACACTGTGTGACAACGTTTCCTGTTTTACATGTGGATGGACTACCCACACTGACCAGTCCTGAATAACCAGTTCTTTTTAAATAGCGTTACACAGGTCATCTTTTGAAAACTGTTCTTCTTAGACACATATAGTAAAAATCAATGTCAGTATTTTTCAATACAGAGAAGCTTTTGTATTAATAATCCATCAATAATTCTTCATGTTCTCCACAAACTGTTTGAATTTTTCTCTGAGTTGTTGCTGCACACCTCTACCTGGTCTCAGGTGTAAAATCATTCCCGTCTAACGCCTCGTAATAAATTCCCTAAAATGGTTTTAATCCATTTTATACAACAGCTACTATAATGACTGTCATAGACGACTGATTTCATAAAGATTCCAGGTTTACATATATGCAGTGATCCATCCCCTTCACAACACAACTACTACTTTCATGATTTCTCTTATGTAGCTTACATTTTACATAAAAGCCCCTCAAAATCCTCCCATCCCAACCATTTTAAACAGCAATAAAATAAAAATGAGCATTCCAAGTAATCCTACTCCTACAAAATACTGCTGTGTGTGCACTTCCCCCCGTTGGAGAGGAAATGCATAAAAAATGCATAGAAAAGGAACCCTATGCAGCAGTAAACACAACACGTCACTGACATCCAGAGAAAGATCAAAGCGGAGCACAACCCTTTCTTCTACACATAAGACACTTAGGGATTGATTTAACAAACAAGACTGAAAATCCATACGCTAAAATATGCCACAGATTAAAAAGTCTACCTGCAAGGAGCTCGACTCAGTTCCTGTGCAGAACTTTTGGTAATGTAACGGAGGTAATACAGGGCAAAACGATGGTTCTGCATCGTTGGTTCATTCTTCCAAAAAACACCCTGAGACCAGTAATTTTATATTAAATAATCAATGAGTTAATCAGTTCCAACAGTGGGCACCTATTATGGTTCCCCTTCACACCCACATCTAAAGGAAAGAGTGATATTTATAAAAAACATTGTGTGTGTACATTTATCATTTTTGCAAAGTTCCTGATATAGTTCCTTTTAAGTTTCACCTACAGACATACGAGGCATCAGTATCAGCTGAAACAAGCAGCAGACACTGAGCCATACTTCCCCAAACGTCCTAACCATCACCAGCATGTCAGATCTGCCTGACAATTAAAGAGTATTAAAGTAAGAACACAGTCAAAATGGAGCACAACTTAATCAGTTGGGTTAGCAACTGTCTGAGCAAATACCTGCATGTATTCAAGAGCATTTGAAAACCATTATTCACATTCTTCAACAACCAAACCTTATAATAAAAGCTGCTGAAATGTGTGGTTGAACACATTTAAAATACTTTGACAGGCCTGTGTAGAATATGGTTGATTCAACAAATTATGTGTGTTATCAGTTGTTGACATTGTTTATATCAGCGACTACTGTGCAGTTAAATTCTACATTTTATCGTGCTATTAGTGCATACAAGCTCCCCAGACAAGCTGTTATTCTAACAGTCATGTGATTTTTTTAACCATGTTTTAACAGACGGCACATTTCTGAAATGATTCAAAGCTCTTGTCTGGATAGATTTTTTATTTTTTTTTTAAACTGCTATTTACACTGATGATTTTTTGTTTTTGTTTTTTTTTTAAACAAAGTGCATCTTGCCTTGATCTGACTTTGGTATTTGTATTAAGCTCCCTGGGTTTGGCCACAGTCTTATTTAAAAAATAAATAAAAAAGTCTCCCTTTATGTCCAGACAGGATCGACTGTGGGTGTCAGTCACCCGCCTCTCGCCCGTCCTCAGATTCGTCTTCCCTTGAGAGGGCTTGATTACTGTGGCGTTCTTTCCACAGGGGCACTTAGGGGAGACTCGTATTGATAATCGGTACCCATAAGACCGTGAGGTAGCAGATCATGACCTGAAGGGTGTCAAAACCTGCAACTGCTAAGGTGGCTGTAACTCAAACCTCAAGTCTTGTGATCAATTATAGACAGAGGAGAAATCTGCACATCATAATGTTACCAAACAGCGCGTGCAGGTCATTTGAGGTGATTTTCAATATTAGGTCCGAATCAGAGCAAATGCACTGCATGATATTAATCATGTAGGTAGATATTGGCCCCGTCACTCTCTACTTTGGCTTTGCAACAGCACGAGAGACAAAAATCAGACCGCGACTACGAGAAAGAGCACAATCACAGCCAACGAAGGAGGCCTGGCAACACTTTGCAACGGAGGAGCATCTGTCCCACTGGTGCTCCCCTGATGACTAAAAGGCAGCAGCTGATCATTCCACTGCATGCTTAAGCACATATTTCCTGTAATCAAACTGCAAACAGCTGTATATCTGAAAGTGATCTCAGCACAACACTTTCTAATGTTGTCAAGACTGACCTTTTTCACGGTTGCGTTGAGAAAAATAAAAAAAGGAACATTGAAAGAGGATGAAACAGCTGATTAACCAACAATAAACCAGTCACGTGAGCATCTTACTCCATACAGGATGCCACCTTGGTCTGGCAAGAATGGAAACACGGATTTATATGCTGCAGCTAAGAAGTCACATCACAGCTCAGTTAGATGCTGTTGAGTTATACAACTAACTTGTGACAGAAGTGTGATAAACATTCTGACTTTGGTCTATACGTTTGTGTTGTCCAAATGAACAATTCTGAACAAGGTGCGATAAAATCCAATTAAATTTGTCACGTGTTTGAATGACACCTACGGAGAGTTGAGTCTCATTGGATCACAAATTAATCTGAACTTGTGTTCGTATGGCGTGCTGACCAGGGAAAAAAAAAACATGTCAGCAGTTAATCAGATGGAGGATTTCTTTGTAGTAAAACAGAGTGAATATTTGTGGATTTTACGCCGTTAATCAAAACTAAACAAGCACTTCAAATACATTACCTTCGACCTCGGGACCATTTTGTACCACTTACTGACCATTTGAAAGGAAAGTGAAAAAAGATTTGATTTGGACTTGGACCCTCTCTGCCATTTGATGTACGGAAGTGTTGGAAAATATGATTAATATACATATAAACAATGCTAAGATAACGCTCTCACTCAGTCCTAATTCACATTAGGGCTGAGCCATTTGGGGAAGGAAAAGAAAAAAAATCAAATCCCAATTTTTCTGAAAGATTTTGTGATTTGATTTGCAAAAAAAAAAAAGAAGTTTTAAACCCATTTTCACCTCATAAGCATTAAGATAGAACCAAAATGTGAGTGTCAGTAATAGAGGGTGGCAGTTTAAACTCTGGGTCAGATGCACCTCAAAATGCCCAAGGTGAAGCTAATAAACAATAAGACTGCTTATGCCTATACGAACCACACAGTATGTATTCATCAGAGGGGAAACAAACAACCGCAAAGTTTTATTGTGCTCAAATTAATTAAAATTGAATCACCGCATTAGTCTCATCGAGCCACACCTCGCATATCCTAAACTGCGACGGTGTGCGGTTTGCTATTTGAATCGTTTCAAATTGCATTTTTGATCTGAAATGGATCGTTTAGCCCTCATTCATCAGAACCCTCACATGGTTGTTGGACAAGCTGCTCATAATGCACCTCTTGCTGGAAAACTACACAAATGCAGAACCACCACAGAGTAAAGTCTGTGCAAAATCTTCTGAAGAAAATTTAAATTACGTTTCAATAAAAGGCTCAGAGGATGGCAAAGGTTCCCAATCCTGGTCTTTGACTGCCACCTATCTGCTGCCTTTCCATCCCGCCAAGTCATTAATGGCATTCACCTGTCAACCCCGGGGCAAATCAGTCCCTTACTAGATGGCGACAGCCGCAGGGCGCCGAGTCCCAAGGCCCAAATTTAAACCCTCTGGTGTCACACATGATTGGAAAAATCAGGCACTTAGATTAAACCGTCTACATGGAGGAATGTAAATCAAAAACAAAGGGGCTGTTAGGTCATTAGAAGTCTTTTAAATGATCAAAGACATCATAATTTTATATATATCTATATATATAAATATTTTTTTTAGGTGGCCTACATACAGCAAGATTATTCAGCTACAGAGCTGACATGACGGTTCACTGAGCTCAGAGGAAAGCCACGTGACAGATCAAATTGTTTCTTCCTTCATCAGGGGATAAGTGATGAAGAGAGCAAGCTGCGTGTTGACTGATTTGTGGCTTTAATCATGTCCCATTTCTCAGCTGAGCACCGCAGCCTGCCACTTTCTCAACACCGAGACGCACTTTAAAGCTTCCACTTTTTGGCTAAAAAAGACAAATGTGCAAATGCATAAGCGTCAAAGAATAATAAAAGGCAGATACGCCTCAAACTACACTATAAAGTCTAAGATAAGATGATAGCCACCACCACAGCTGCCTTGTGTTTTCTATTATACCAAATTATTGATGACACAGGACTGTGGAAAGCTCTTAGCAGTGGCACATATCAAAAATACTGTTATCATGCGCAATCAGATGACAGGGCTTTTCAAGCTGGGGTCAATACTTGCTTTATAATGGACAGAAATAGACGCAGGTACACGATGGACAAAAACCTCTCAAGCGAAAAACCAGACTCCAGGAATTTCTATGCATGCTAAGTGAAGCCTGTGAGGAACTATGAGGGCATCTGTATCAAATGCCATTGCTGAAATTCTTGAAATATCAAAACAGTATGTTTTTTCCAAATGAAAAGAATCCCCCTAAGAAAGCCTCCACATCTGATCTGTCCAAGTGATGACTCATGATATGAGGCAACAGCACAGCTTTCACAGGTCATGTTTAGTTTGAAAGGAACCATCAAGTAAGTAAAGCTATCAAACACCAATCAGTCACTAGTCGACACTTGTTTTATCAGATAAGTGAACGGTCCAGCAATGGATCCAGACACAGACCCTTTCCTTTCTGGGGCAAGCTTTTCCTCCTAATCCTGCCCAGCGACCACGTGTTGCATGCTCAAGTCTAGCAAACCATCAGTGACTAACAAAAAGCCCTGGGTGGGAGCCTGCCTGCTCTCTCCCGAAGCCACATTTTCAACTTCATTTGGACCAAGCGAGCCAGCCAACCTGTTGAAACGTTGACCGACCACAATTGCCCACTCACTTGCCCCACAATCAAGTCGGCCCCCTGGCTAGTAAACAGGGTAACTTTAGCCGGCCTGCCCGGTCTTGTCACTGCACAGCCTCGGTGTGTCCGGCTAGTTAAGCTAGCTTATGTGCTGCTAGCTTGATGCGCACTACCCGGGCTGAGCAAGTGGGAGGACCAGCTTCGACAGACACGGTGCCCTAACTAGAAAATATGGGCCAGTTAGGAAGTGCTGCTAACGCTCCGGCACCACGTTTCGACCTGCTTTCTTTATGTAACACCGCCGGCTGTCCGCTTCAACCGAGCAAGTCCGGAGTCCCGTCCACAGTTCCCCACCCCGGGTCTCATCCTCCAAAAAAAAAAAAAAATAAGGTCAAGTCCAAAAATACGAGATACAAGACACGTGTCAATAAATGTCGAAAAACGCAGACAATTAGAGGAATTACCCGACGTCTGGTCATTCCTGTGAACGCTGCGGATGTGAAAACAAGCCGGAGGAAAGGAGGCAGACAGCAGAAGGGCTGTTTGATTATTTTTTTAAATCGCGTGTAACACACATCATGGTGGAGCCAGTCTCAATGGCTGCTGCCGCTGTCTGACTTGACTAGCATTAGCAGAGCGGAGCCGTCTCCCTCTGCCGCCGTTTGTCAAAGCAACGCCAACGAAATTAAACTTCTCGACTCGACGCGCCAGTTTGGGGCGTTGGCGCCGAGGCCATTGCCGACTACCGTCCCCTTACCTTCGCTCTGTGGCCGGAGGCTGGACTGGTTGAGCGGCGCTGCGCAGTGAAGCGGTCTCGGGGAAGAAAGAGACTCCGCTCCGATGGCGGTAAAAGGGAGAGAGATCCCGCCGCCTGCGCTCATATACATCCGACGTCATCACGTAAACCGGCAGTCACCGGGGCAACGCTGCCGATGGGAGGGGCGGCGGGGAGGGGTGCCCCTAGAGGGGGAGGAGAGGATGAGGGAACATCATCACCACCACGACCACCATCATCATCCTCCTCATCATCTCTTCCTCATTTCATCCACGCAGGATGTTGGTCTTCCTCTTTTCATGAACTTCTTCCTCAACCTTTAAATTCTTGATCAGCAGCAGTTTCATCATCCAAGCAGACAGCATCTTCATCATCATCGTCACCGTGACCCTTGTTGTTTCCACATCCTCACTTTTCAACACCTCTGTCCTTACATCATTTGCATCACAATTGTCACCATCTTCATCACTGAACCCAGCCATCATCTTCATCATCATCATCATCATGCAACACTTTATTGATTCTTGCAACAAACTCCTCTCATGTTCCCAGTCCTCCCCCTGAATTTACCCTTCATAAGATTCTACATGTGTTCATTCATTCTAATGCTTCACTGAAGCGACATCACAATTCCTGACCTTGGAAAAAGCAGCTTCACTCACTCAGTGGAGCTTTCATCTCATAGCAGTCATCAGCAGATGGATGTTATTGCATAAACAGAACATTCTAGCTTTATTTAGGCTGTTCGTTTTCACACTGAGCAGTGGTGGACCTGCCACAAGGACACCATGAAGACGTAAAGTGTAGGATGTGTGTTTCATTGTTCTGTGCAGTATGACAGAAATTCTAATGTCATACAGGTACCCATCAATCTGTGGTCACCTACTGACAGCCTACCTTTATCTCTGCCTTTAGGGCGGCTGTGGCTCAGGTGGTAGAGCGGGTTGTCCTCCAGTTGCAAGGCTGGTGGTTCAATCCCTCACCCATCCAGTCAAAGTGTCCTTGAGCAAGACAGCAAACTTGAAGTTGCTCCCAATGGCAGGCAGCACCTTGCATGGCAGCTCTGTCACCATTGGTGTATGAATGTGTGTGAATGGGTGAATGAGAAACACATTGTAAAGTGCTTTGGACAAAAGCGCTATATCAGTGCAGACCATTTACTCTTTACAACATAATACATTTTTGATATCCCACAAAGGAGCACATTTATTTGGAAGACTACCTCGAGTCCTCCATGTCTGCACATTTTGCTCTAATCTTATCTGGATTTGGATGCAGCATAAGACCCCCTCAGGATTTTTTCCTTGTTACCTGTCCATATGGTGTTTTTTATAGACACGTCATGAGGAAAATAAGCAGTCAATGCCTCAAATGAGCATCTTCACCTTGAAGTTTCAGTGTACTGATGGCACTCTCAGAAACACAGATTTAGACTTCCAGTGTTTCATATGTAACAAATCTGAAGAGCCAATCCTGTCAGTTTGCAGGGTGGCACTTGCTGTATAACTATTGTTCTTCAGAATCAGTTCTTGTTTCGAACGCGAATAGCTGAATATTTCAACTTGTCACTGTGGATAACATATACTATTGAGGAAAATAGTGGTTTTTGAAATGGTTTTCCATCACCAACTCAAGTACCGCTTTAATTAGGGGACAATTCTTCACTTATTTCATGTGGTTTTGAAAGTTAGTTATTTTTCTTGCAGATTCTTGGTTTGGAGGTAATAGCATAAAATTATAGGTGCAACTAATTGTTATTTTCAGTGTTGATTAGTCACCAAATTATTAATCTGTATAGTAGTGAAAAATGTCTATCACAGCTTTGGAGCATTCGCCCGTGAGATACCATCAAAAGTAACTGTCAGACATCAAAATTGCATAAATTTGTCAAACCGTTGACACGACAGATTGAACCCTGGGTCTGATGTGCTGTACAACATGTATCCTAAATTGCATCCCTCGTGATATGTCAATTGCATTGTTTCAAATGGCGAGTTCAATATTAAAACAAATAATTGCTCAGCCCCAGTACAGTGAAGAGGTTTTAAAGTGCAGGGACTTCATAGATGTGTGCATTCTACAGGGAACAACAGTGTACAGTCACATGTAAGACGTTTTAAGGCAGGAAGGGATTATTTACACGGGAAAAGAAAAATCTATGCATGTAACTTTGACACACACACACAGTTTTTGGGGTTTAATTAACGACCGGACTTCGACTTAAACACAAGATCCAGTCGAATGAAGCGTCCGTCTTGACTTCACGGCATGTCAGCAACACGTTTTAAACATCCTTCTGTTCTGGAGGAATTTCAGGAAGTTCTGAAGATTAAATGTTCAGTGAAATGGTTCAATTTTCAGGTACGTCACAGACGTCGTGTTTGTGCCACCTGTGCTCACCTGTTAGAACTCACAGAGGTGAAGGGGCAGGTTTGCCGTGGCTCGTTATGACCGTGCCTATTACTATTCAAGCACTTGTGTTCAGCATCCCAACATATGAGAGGAAATGTCTCAGTAGGTTTCCAGGGGAAGACATGTGCGCTGCTGTCGTACTCGTTAATAGAAAGTGAAGAACTCCAAACTCACACAGATGAAATCCTCAGTGATGAGACATCTCCAAACACAGACAGACTCAGAAAACCTCTCGCTTGTGACCCTGAACGAAGCCAGAGGCAAAAACTGTGAGGATTTCAGCGTGATTCATCCGTCAGGCGGCGGCGGACTGAGTGTTACTAACACCAGACGTGCTGCTCGGCTTCAAACCTCCGCTCAGTGATATCTGGCACGAGCCCAGAGGTCGGATTTCTCTCATTCTACGCTTTCCCACCAGAGGAAGCCTTCCCACGTGTGTCTTCCATGTCAGGAAGCAAAAAGGTGAATATTTCCCTGAGTCATGCTGGCCGGCAGCACAGGAATAGACAGTGGACCGAATAACTAGAGGGATCATCCGCTATCGCTGCAATCTTTTACATCACAGTTGGAGCTGGGAGCTGCCAGGTAAAAACCCAGAGTGGAACCTGGTGGCTGAGCAGCTTTACTGGGCCAGCTGGGAGCTTGGGAAGCATGCGTTCTTAAGAATAGCGTTTGGTTTGCGTTGATCTTTTTGAATGAGGGCAACTTCTGGGGAAATTATGTTCAACCATTGAGTCAAAAGAATTTCCTCTGCAAAGGTATATTTAATTACCACTTATTTATTGATGAGTGGCAGTTCTAAAGTTGATAACTCGTAAACAATTAAGTTGCTCCAATTAGTATTTACACATTATTTTAAAGGGTTTTCCAACAGACGTTTTTAGGTTGGCAAACTTTAAAACATATAAGTTGTTCCAGTGTTTATTCAGTAACAGAGGGTGCATGAAATCCTGACCTTAAGGTAAAGAAAAATGGCCAATTTCATTAAGTTACCTCAACTTGAATTTAGTCATCAGTCAGTTAAAGCAGAAATTTAAATGGCACACAATGTTAGATTAATGAAATTACCAACATTATAATGTCAGCTGAACTCATCTAAATCATGTGTGCAACCTAAAGGGTTTATCTAAACCATTAAATTAGAATTCTTCATCTTGCAGCCATGCTTAGAATAAAGTGATGAGAGCAGGTTTGGTCCCTTGAATTATTTTTTTGTGTGATCAGAAGTGCAGTAAAAGAGAAAAAGGAGGTCTCTTATAAATTTTGCAGAAACTAATTCTTTTCATTTTCCAATTTTCCATTTACAGAACACTAACTTTTAAAAAAAAGTCTGGGTCAACAAAGCAGACTTTGTATTAATATAAACTTCCCTCACTGTTCTTACCAGCACTAATAATGTCACACTAATTTGAATTATCATTTAAGAATTTGCAGCAGACAGTAAAATTAAGGAAAACATTCTCTGACATTTTGTTTGTCACGTAAATCAAAACAAATTGTTCCCTTCATTGCCAAAAATGTCTTATTTTCCATCAAAACACTGCCCAAAGTGGAAAATAGCCAAATAAAAAGCAGTAAATGATGTTAAAATAAATAAATTTTTTGTGAGCACGTTATTTTTATGCCAGCTATCATATTGTGAGAGCAGTTCATTTTCGTGGACTTTCAAATAACAAGGAAGCTCCTTCGCTAAACAAAACCCTCACTCCTGAGTTTGCATTTATGGAGGCCGTCTGGAATGTCAGCAGGATATCTGATGAGCTTCAAACTGAACTGGATCCAGGGAGCATGCAGTGGTGTGTTTAAATCACACTGAAGTGCATCAAAGAGTTTGGGATCAAACACCACCAGTTGCTGCTCAGGGCCCTGCTGCATGGGAATGAGAACTTTGTGCACGGCAGCCTCAGAATGTCAGCTGACCTGAAACACAGCCACCAGCTTCTTCACTGCACGCTGTTGAGAAGCATTCCTCAGTTTAAACCTCTCAGCTGGGAGGAAGTAGAGGCAGAAAAACTCCTGACCTGTGAGTGAGTCAGCCAGACAGATGCAGGTGTTAGTGGCCGACGGTAGACGGCTGTGGTTGGACTGGGCAGAGACTGGCTTGGACAGATATTGATGAGTTCCTCCTCTCTGACCACTATAATAGAAAAGTGTCTGGAAAACCTGTAGGGGGACTTTATTCTTTATTATTTTCAGTTTGATTTCCTGCATTAAATTCTATTTTTTTTTTTTTTTTCGCCCCTTTTGTTCCCCCCCTTGGCTTGTTTAAAGGTTAAAATTTTAATTTATTGATTTAGATAAAACTTTTTAGTTTAAAGCATTATTTTCCTAAGTTGGTTTGACATCGATCCATCATCTATACACCGCTTAATCCTCACTAGGGCCACAGGGGGCTGGAGTCTATCCCAGCTGACTCAGGGTGAAGGCAGGTTCACCTGGACAGGTAACCAGTCTATCACAGGGCTACACTTAGAGACAGACAACCAAGCACACTCACATTCACACCTACAGACAATTTAGAATCACCAATTAACCTCAACATGTTTTTGGACCTTGTGGGAGGAAGCCGGAGAACCCAGAGAGAACCCACGCTGCACGGGGAGAACATGGAGACTCCACGCAGAAAGATTCCGGTGCCCCCACCGGGACGCGAACTGGCGACCTTCTTGCTGCGAG